CTACAGGCTTGAAGAGGTGGCTGGGCCCCCAGGCCCACGTTGGGTGTTATATCTGTGCTGTGCATAATAAATATTTTCCCAGGGTTTTTGCTCCGTGGCTGCCTGAAGGAAGTGCTCCAGCTGTGGCATGGCAGGGGTGGCAGCCCCAGGAGTGCAGGGCCAAGGGGGTCTGTCCCCCAGCAGCTTTGCTGCAGTGAGGACCAGCAGCAGAGAGCAACACGTGGAGTGGGGGCGGTGCTGGCTCTGGGTACCTTCCCTGCAGGGCTGGGCTCCCCTGGGCTCTCTGCAGCCTGCAGAGTCAGAGGGTATCTGAATTCCCCCACACTGAGTGAGGCAGGTGCTGAGCAGCCCAGGGCAGAGCACCCTCCTCATAGCATCCTTCCTGCTCACCCCACATGCATCCCACGTGGTTCCAGGGAGGAAAGAGCAGGGGAAACACCACACTCCAGCACCAGCAACACCTCATACTTGCCCTGAGCCTCCAGGATGATGTTACATCCCCACAAGGGCAGGGCTGTACTTAGCTGCCCAGGGGCACCCTGCTGTACATCTAGCAGCAGCTGGTGCTGTGACCCAGAGCAAAGGCTCAGGGAAGCATGGGGCAAGGCAGGGAGCCCCCCCAGGGCCCGGGAGCACAGAACAAGCTGCAGCAGGAAGGCACCAATACTTCTTTCATATCACTGCTTTTATTGAACTGGAACAAGACAGCTGCTATGGTTGGACAGTTACAGTGACCCAGTGCAGACCCAGGCTCGCTACGGCAGCGGAGGGTAGAGGCCACAGTGACAGCGCCAAGTACACGTGTGGGAGGGGGCACGACAGCACCTGCTTCACCAACACGAGCAGCAGGACGAGGATGGGCTGGGACAGGTACGAGCCTCCAGCCAGCAACGCTTCCTCCCTTATCCTTGTGCAAAGGCAGTAAGTGAAAGCGTGTACTGGTGGAGCTAGGTCCAAAGTGACACATAGCATCACTGGGTGCTGTACGGCACACAGGAGCACAGTGGGTCATGCACCCAGCCACACCCTTTCAGCATACAGACACCCTGGTCCCGTTCTGGCATACCCACGCCTGGAGGGGACACCCCTCTTGGTCACTGGCTGTGCTGCACTCACACCACCGCTCCTGCGGGGCTCCTGGAATGACTGAATCACGCAACGGAACTACAGTAACTGAGTGACAAGAGCTGCCGGGAAGCAAAGCGCGGGAGGAGCCGGGCGCGACAGGGCTGCGCAGAGCACCCGCTGCAGACGGGCCTGAGGGTGGGATGGTGCAGGGCAGAGCACGTGTGGTTACCGCCTGCCTTTCGCACCAGGCCTCCTCACGGAGCAGCCCTAGAGCACAGGCTCCCGGGCTATCTGCAGAGGGGAGCCTGCTCCAGCGGGAATGGGGCCTGGTCCCGGAGAGCTGCTCCCCGCTCCAGCTCTGCAGCTCCCAGTTCCTACGGCTGTGGGGTGTGTGCACAGGTGGGGCGGGGAGGGAAGGGGGCTCACCTACTACTCGCTAGCCCACGCATCCACCCTCACTTCTTGGCCTTGCCCTGGGCAGCAACGGCCTCCATGGCTTTGCGCACGGTCTCCTCGTCTCCCAGGAACTGCATGGGCTTGATAGGCTTCAGGTTCTTGTCCAGCTCGTAGACGATAGGGATCCCGGTGGGCAGGTTCAGCTCCATGATGGCCTCTTCCGACATGCCTGCGGAGAGGCACAGTGGCTCGCAGGGAGCCCTCCCCGGACCAAGCCGCTCGCCCCAAGGTGGGACAGGGCTGACCTACCTTCCAGGTGCTTGACGATCCCTCGCAAGCTGTTGCCGTGGGCTGCAATAAGGACCCGCTTGCCCTCCTTGATCTGAGGGACTATTTCTTCATTCCAGAAGGGCAGCGCCCGGGCGATGGTGTCCTTCAGGCTCTCGCACGTTGGCAGCTGGTCCTCGGTCAGGTCAGCGTAGCGACGGTCCTGCAGGCAGAGCCACTTGCACACAGCAGCCCCAAACCCACAGCTGCTGCGCATTGAGGAGCCAGAGCTCAGGGCAGCTCCAGCTGGTAGAGCAAGGTGAGGCCAGGGCCTTCATCCACCCACACTCTGCCCAAGGACCGACGTAAATGGGCTTGCAGCTCCCGCCAGCAGTGTCACTGCTGCTGTAACAGGACAGCAAACAGGACAAGGCCACTGCAGGCTGGGAAATGCCTTCAAGGTAAACCTCAGCTCTCAGCTATCGCGCCTGCCTAGATAAGACAGTGCTTCCCACCCTCTGCTCTCTTTATTCACTGCAAATATCTAGGCATTGGTCATCGGACTAATGATTAACATGAATCCCCCTGGAATCAGTCTGTGCCATGCCCGGGGGTTCAACCTCCTCAGGGACAGTGCAGAGTGAGCCGAGCTCAGCACCAGCCATCCCCAGCCACAGGAACAGAGGGCAGTACCAGGACTGCCTGACCCACCTCCCTTCCCTGAGGGAAAGGGGACCAACCATGGGACTCTGAGTATTCTTCGAGTTGTTTTTAGCCCAGAGGCTGCTTGACTAGAGAGGGAGGCACAGCCTGGAAAAACCTGCCTTACCTTGCTGATAGTGCTGTAGAAGGGGTGATCCGGCTGCATGGGAGGCGGGGGAATGTCGTATGAGCGTCTCCAGATCTTCACCTGGGCCTCTCCATGCTTAGCGGCCGTCTCAGCCTTGTTAAGACCAGTGAGCCCTCCGTAGTGCCTCTCGTTGAGGCGCCAGGTCCGCACCACAGGCAGCCACATCTGGTCGATGGCATCCAGGACGGTCCAGAGGGTGCGGATGGCCCGTTTCTGCACAGAGGTGAAGCAGATGTCGAACTCATAGCCAGCATCTGAAACAGAGCAGAGCCGCAGGCATCAGCGTGCAGCATCACCGAGCAAAGGCAGGAAAAAAAAAGAGCATCTTCCATCCAGGCACCAGGCCAACACTTTTGCTGCTGCTGCTTTCCAAGCTGAACTGTTATTTCAGTCACTCAGCTAACTGCTCCTTGCATTGGGGCACAGTGAGCAAGCTCTGGAAGCCTCCTGGCCCATTTTCCCGGCTACAGACGCTTCCAGGTCACAGAGAAGAGGCCGAGCACGTGCAGTGGAAGGGCCTGTGACTCACGGCATTGCCCGCAAAGG